TTGTGTAGTACTTGTAGTACTTGTAGTACTTGTAGCTCTAGCTTGCTGCAATAGTGAACCCAGCAAACAAACCTACTAAAGTGAAATGGAGCCTCTCCTGGTCCAGGGCCTTGGAAAATTGTGGAAAAGCTGTTCTTTAATAAGGGTTTAATAAGGGATTGGCTCCTTTGGGAAAGGCTTGGAGTTTGAATTTGGCAATTTTGGAAAAGGCTTGCTTCTCTTCTGGGCTTCCAGGGGCTGCTCTGGCACAGCTTGCTGCAATAGTGAACCCAGCAAACAAACCTACTAAAGTGAAATGGAGCCTCTCCTGGTCCAGGGCCTTGGAAAATTGTGGAAAAGCTGTTCTTTAATAATGGTTTAATAAGGGATTGGCTCCTTTGGGAAAGGCTTGGAGTTTGAATTTGGCAATGCTGCAATAGTGAACCCAGCAAACAAACCTACTAAAGTGAAATGGAGCCTCTCCTAGTCCAGGGCCTTGGAAAATTGTGGAAAAGCTGTTCTTTAATAAGGGTTTAATAAGGGATTGGCTCCTTTGGGAAAGGCTTGAAGTTTGAATTTGGCAATTGCCTTTCGAAAAGGCTTGCTTCTCTTCTGGGCTTCCAGGAGCTGCTCTGCCACAGCTTGCTGCAATAGTGAACCCAGCAAACAAACCTACTAAAGTGAAATGGAGCCTCTCCTGGTCCAGGGCCTTGGGAAATTGTGGAAAAGCTGTTCTTTAATAAGGGTTTAATAAGGGATTGGCTCCTTTGGGAAAGGCTTGGAGTTGGAATTTGGCAATTGCCTTTGGAAAAGGCTTGCTTCTCTTCTGGGCTTCCAGGAGCTGCTCTGGCACAGCTTGCTGCAATAGTGAACCCAGCAAACAAACCTACTAAAGTGAAATGGAGCCTCTCCTGGTCCAGGGCCTTGGAAAATTGTGGAAAAGCTGTTCTTTAATAAGGGTTTAATAAGGGATTGGCTCCTTTGGGAAAGCCTTGGAGTTTGAATTTGGCAATTGCCTTTGGAAAAGGCTTGCTTCTCTTCTGGGCTTCCAGGGGCTGCTCTGGCACAGCTTGCTGCAATAGTGAACCCAGCAAACAAACCTACTAAAGTGAAATGGGGCCTCTCCTGGTCCACAGCCTTGGAAAATTGTGGAAAAGCTGTTCTTTACTAAGGGTTTAATAAGGGATTGGTTCTCTTGGGAAAGGCTTGGAGTTTGAATTTGGCAATTTTGGAAATGGCTTGCTTCCCTTCTGGGCTTGCAGGGGCTGCTCTGGCACAGCTTGCTGCTGGTCCAGGGCCTTGGAAAATTGTGGAAAAGCTGTTCTTTAATAAGGGTTTAATAAGGGATTGGTTCTTTTGGGAAAGGCTTGGGGTTTGAATTTGGCAATTTTGGCAAAGGCTTGCTTCCCTTCTGGGCTTCCAGGGGCTGCTCTGGCACAGCTTGCTGCAATAGTGAACCCAGCAAACAAACCTACTAAAGTGAAATGGGGCCTCTACTGGCCCAGGGCCTTGGAAAATTGAGGAAAAGCTGTTCTTTAATAAGGGTTTAATAAGGGATTGGTTCTTTTGGGAAAGGCTTGCAGTTTGAATTTGGCAATTTTGGAAAAGGCTTGCTTCTCTTCTGGGCTTCCAGGGGCTGCTCTGGCACAGCTTGCTGCAATAGTGAACCCAGCAAGCGCACTTATTCAGATAGAGATGCATTTACAGGCTCAGATAGAGAGATGAGCAAAAACTTGACTGAGCTACAGCGTTTTTGAGAAAAAACATTGCCTCTCAGCAATTACATTTTTTTTCAAAAAAAGGGCTCTCCCAATTTTGTTTTGCCACAAAAGCGAACCCTCCAAACAATACATGAGTTTCAGAATAATTTGGAAAAAATTGCCACAATAGCGACCTTAGCTACAAATCAGGAGCTAACATTACGCAGTATACCAGCCTTGCCACAGCCAGGGGTTGGAGTGCATGGAGCGATTTCTTGCCGCAGCACTTGGTCCTGCCGCACGCGCTATTGACGCGGGCCATCAAGCTAGTCAGGGGAGAAGAAGGTACTCCGGGCACACACGAGACCGGTGCATCCCTTGTGGACTACGGCAGTTCAGATGGTTTTTCGGCTCCTACACCCGAGCAGCAAACTGTTACAAATGATGGCGAGCTACCCGGGACGACACTTTTTTTCAGTGCCGGTTGACAAGTTGATATCTGGGTTTTTCTGCGCGCTCGTTTACTGGCTTGGCACTGCACGAGCAAAGATTTTAGAGCTGGTCGTGATCGACACCAAGCCGGAGTGGATTGGCAAAGCAGGTCATGCGTATGGACACCTCCAGCTGCAAATTTCCTGTCCAGAAGTGGTCCCGCGCACCCTTCGGTCTGAAGGGTTGCTGCGTGTGCTGTCATGGGTCAGCTTTGAGCTCCCAGAGCCTTTGGAGGAAACGTTGGCAGCACTCTTAACGTTGGCAGCGGAAGAACATAAGTCACTCCACCTCCACCCAATGGAAGGTCAAGATGTTCGGATGTCCTGCCTTCAAATGAACAGGAGCTCTAGAAGCAGTTGATTGGCATGCTGCCTGTCCCAGGTGGGCACCGAGGTGACAGCGGTGCCACACTCCAGCGACTCCTACGGGAATTCCTGGCAGCTTCAATCTAGCAGATTCCAGGAGGGTCACATTGTTTGGCATCAAGACGCTGACAGTGGGATCACAAGTGTGGTTGACTAGAACGCCCTCGACAGTGGCACTTCGACATCAGCCAAAGGAATTCAGCAAAATGACTACTGTTATTGAAGTTTGTTCAGGGATATCAGCAGTTTCACAAGGGTGTGAAGCATGTGGGGCAACGGTTGTCTGCTACAATGAGATGAATTCCAAGTTTGTTGCATGGATGAAAAATCAAGGAAAGATAATAATCGAAGGGGATGTGTCAAGTTCACAGGTCATTGCTCAACTGGCGCCGTACTGTGGCAATATCCTTTCAGGTGGAATAGCATGTCAACCTTGGAGCTTGCTAGGTGATCAGAAAGAAATGGAAGATGATCGAAGGAGGTCCATGCCAGGTATGCTCCGAGCTATTCATTTTCTGCAGATCCCGCTGGCTGTCATGGAGTGTACACCAGCAGTCTTGTCAGGTAGCAACTGGCCCCACAGGTCCAGTAGCACTGAGTTCTTGTGAATGGCAGTAGTGACTACTGAATACCCCGACCAAATCCACAGTCACTCCATCATCCAAAAGCCGGATATCAGGTTCCAAATCCATTGCTAAAGCCAGCCCTCAGCGCAACCGAGCAGCGCTCTCAATGTTCGGCTGGACAGGTGCACCCCTGGTAGGCATTTGAGCCGACACTGCAAGGTAAACACCACACACAAAAACATAAACATTGTTTTTTTGCTTTTGCGTCCTCCCACATGGTTTTTGGGTTTCCAAAAGAAGTGGGGGGGTCCTCCGGATGCCACATTTTAGCCCAGAGATGGTATGGCACACCCTTTCATTTTGAACGAACATACATACATACATACATACATACATACATACATAAGTAGCTTCCACCAGACACTGGAGAGAGTGAACTTGCCAGACAGCCTTCAGAGCTTGACGTTCAGCCTTGAATTCAACCAGGCCCTGGAGAGACCATTGATAAACCAAAAAATTTTAGCTGAAATATTTCTGGGTGTGGGGGGGGGGGCACCCCCCTTTTTGAAACATTTCAGTTTTAACCCTCCCCACCCCCCCTTAAAAGGGGGGGATGTTTGCAAGTTGCAGAGCAAACACTAAGGTGTGTCAAAAACCTGTGTTGCCCGTACATTGGAACAGTAAGCCTTTATCGGCAGGCAAGCAGGTTTAGCACCAAAAATCTGAAACCATCGTGTTTGTCTATATATTTGTCCATTGTGTTACAAATGTTTTCCGCCATGTGTGAATATAGAAATCAATAAAAAATTCAATTTGGAAACCAATAGAAATCAATAGAAATCTGAATGGAACCAATAGAAATCAATAAAAACCTGAATGAAACCAAAAAAATATGCAAAATGAATTTCTTTTGATTTCTATTGATTTCTACTGATTGCTATATTGATTTTTATATTGATTTCTATATTGATTTCTTTTGATTTATATTGATGTCTATATTGAGTTCTATTGATTTCTTTTGATTTCATTCAGATTTCTATATTGACTTCTATTGATTTTTTTGGTTTCTATTGATTTTTATTGATTTCTATTGATGTCTATTGATGTCTATATATTGATTTGTATTCAATTATTTTGATTTCTTTTGTGCAAATCATATAACAAAAAAAATATTGTAATCAAGGCGGCTTGTATGCTAGTTTAGTACACCTTGGGGAAGGTCCAAAGCGGCAAACCGACGCATGCAAACAAAAGGGGGTTGACGCCAAACAAAGGTCGAAACCTACTGTAACCCATTTCTTTTTCAATGTCGAGGAAGGTAAAGGAGACAATCAGCCGTTTGAAAAATTGGTTTGTGAGGGTGGTGAAAAATGCACATTGGGCGGTTGCGCCAAAATCATTTTTTCCAAAACATTCACATCTTGAATTGGTTGGAGGGTTTGATCAAATTGTTGGACTGGAAATCCTTCCTTTGTTCCACCCTTTTTTACGGGGAAAAATTGTTGCGGCAATTTTCGTTTGAACCCTGTGTTTGGACGTGAGTTGAATGCGTGTGGCAGTTCTTTTCAGTGCGCAATATAAAAATGACACGCACATGCAATACATGTTCCCGATGTTCAGCCAGTGAGTTGCTCAAACTGTTGGTTTTTCACAGATGGTCGTGCTGGCCACCAAATTATCGTACTTAGGATTTTCAATGGATTTACACGTGTGCAATGTCAATGCTGATATTGATGATTTGATGGTGTTATGCTTTCATGCGCGCACGCAAACATACCGTACCTGACAAGGCTAGCATTGCTGCACATATTCAGAGTGACAGTGAAATATTGAAACCCATTTGACAATGAAATCATTGCGGATTTCAGCATTGATCGGCTGGGGTCTAAAAATTGGCCATGTCCCATTTTAGCGGCATCCTTGGTGCGAGTAATCAGTATGGCCGTTGGGTGCCAGAGCAGGCCGTTGGTTCATGGTGACGCGATGCGAATCTTATGGGTTTGGGGTGCCAACCTGGCAGGAACTCAACGTCAAAGCCATCGCAGGCGATCAAAGGGATGAATTGCGTGGGAGTTCTAAGCAAATATGGGAAAAAAGGTAAATGTTGTTTTGCCATTTATATATATATATAATTTATATACCAGTTTTATTTTATTCTTTTATTGGTGAACGCATTCTGCGATGTTGTTTTGGGTAGGGTATGTCCTATTTTGTTCAAATTTTGTATCTTGGAATCTTGGTGTGACATTTATGTGATAATTAGCATTGAATATGTTTTCCTTGCAGGTGGCGCAACCGTGGACTTTTCACAGGCCTGGAGTTTGTTGGTTTTGTTCTGCTACAATCTATGAAACCAAATTGTTGAAATTGAAATTTGTGGCAATTCACTTCGAGGTTGAAATTCAGTTTGAGGGATTTCATTCCTAAACCATTTTTTTTGGGAAAAAACTGTCATTTGCGCGGAATTTCCAATTGAATTTGGTTCGTCGCGCTGTGAAGGCCCTTTTCAAGCACCCAGAGTACATTGTTCACACCAAGGCTTTGTCATGGAACTGATATGGGAACTAGTCAAAACCAGTGCAAAACCATGCGTAGGTAAATGATCGATTTTTGGGGAATGAAACAAATTGTTGGTAAAATCAAATCTAAATGTCATTCGCCAAATATGTAAAATTGCATGTGAATGATTGTCGCAAACAACGGACATTGATGACTTTACGACCTAAACAAAAACAGTTTCTGTTGGGAACAACCCTGATATTGGGGGGAGATGAACATCCAGCTATACCAGCCGTATGTTAGAGTTCACATGCCGTGCCGGGCACAGAAGATCCAAGCCTGCTGTTCAAACCGACTGAATCATCTAGACAAACTGACAAACTGCAGGATTTTTCAAGGGATTTTAGATCACCTGCAGGTGTTTTTTGGATGCCGATGGTATGTGCAATTTCTGGCTTTGGGACAATGATACACCATGGGATTTGATGGGTTCATGTGGTATAGTCAAATCCATATAGATATGGATCATAGATCATAGATTATAGATATTGACAACCCATATTTTCAGACACCATGTCCACTGTTTTGTCAAGGCCTTCTGGGGCGGCATCACTGTGATTGTGCCTCCAGGCGACGAGCTGAACATCTGCCGAAAAATCATAGGGTCAATGGTATTGAAATATACTTATAGTAATAGTTAATAGAATCATATAGCACCATAAGTATAGTTATATACTTAAGTGGTAAACTACAGTAGATAGAATTGTTAGTAAAACCGAGTAACATATGGTGAGAATTCACTTTTCGGCATCTTTTGGCTGGCTTGATCCCAGGTGTGACGGTGGAGCAAAACGGCCAAGCCATCATGGGCGGTTTCGGTGGCAGTGGTGGAGTGTACTCAGCTGCCACCACTGGGCCAGTTGCTCGACTGATGGCGGCAGCATGGGGTCAAGATGTGAGACATGGTGGGATCATTTTGTCCCCCCCAAAATGGATGATTTTTGGTCGCAACCATCCATTTTAGTGGGACTGTAGTTTTATTTTGCTGGATGGCGATGACGAACACATTGAATACGGGAACCCTGTTCTCAACCATCAGGGGTTTCTATTATTGTTACCCTCTGGTAAACTAACATAACTATGGAAAATCACCATTTTCAATGGGAAAATCCACTATAAATGGTCATTTTCAATAGCTATGTTAGCCATTACCAGAGGGTACAACCCAATGCTGTTGGATTCCCAGTAGAACCACCCTCCAATCAACTTTGGCTTCCCAGGCAGCGGTGCCAGGTGTGATCAAGATTAAGGCTGGGTTCGAGGTGAGAGCTGGATCCAAAAGTTGTATTTTTCCATACTCTCCTCACCAAAATTCGTGAAAATTTACCTCAACTTCCAGCTGAAACATGGTCAAATATGGTGAGGAATTCCTGCTTTTTGGGTTGAACAAAAACTTGAGTCACAAATCCCTGGTTCTTTGATGGAAAACTCTACTCAACTTGAGTTTTGGACTGGTCGACACCTCGCAAGGTGGAGGGTACCGCCGTCATGGGCTCCGTCTCGGTAGCGGTGAACGAGCGTGCAAAGCCAGCAGTGCTCCTAACGTCTGGACCCCAACAAAAATCGGCAATGCAACCGGTGCAGGGTAGCTTGGAGTAATCTGAACTTGCCATTTGGATGGGATTATCTTTCGTACCCAAATCAAGAATAATACTTTTTGGCGGTGGGTATCGAAGATTAGCTATTTGTTTTCTGTCAAAAACTGTGGCATTAAATCAGCGATATCAACAGTCTTGTGGCACATCTCATCATAAACCAAAGCCAATATTGCCATTTTGTTTCTTTTGATGAAAATATACTTAGGAGCTACAACTGAATCTCGGGCAACAGAATCCACACCTTTGGGTTGTACGACAATATACAGCAGATTCACACCATCAGATGAGCTCAAGGTGAAGTCTCTAGTTTCAAAAATCAAACCTATGAACAAATGAGAATCCCGAACTCCAAACTTGCTTGTGAAGAGGAAGACATTCCCTGGGACCTTAATCGTAGTCCATGACCTGAACTGAAGGGTGACAATCCAAAACCCACTCCGAGCTTGCATCCGCAGCAATTGAACATGCTTTAGAATCGCCAGTGGATTCCCAGAACATGATTTTTGACATGGGGAAATCTCCAGAAAGACCAAGCCGAGTTGGCTCTTGAGGCTAGGCTCCTGGCAATGTACGACCCCAACTTTGATTGGGATGAAGCAGAGAATCTCATGGAATCTGGAGGATCACAGGCGACAGCTGTGCAGGATGCTGGGGCAGTGGACCGGCCGGGTGGTTTGGAGCCCTGCAAGCAGCTGTTGCAATGGCAAGCGCACGACGCACAGGTGAATCAGATTCGAAGGAGTGGTGCAGATGTGTTCACTGGATGTTGGGATTCCGCTTCTCTGCGCCTCTGGAGATCTTCAGATTTCTGGACCGCACCACCTGAACCTCGTCCGCAGCTGGAAGTTCAAGTGGGTGGCTTCTTGAACGATTTTGCAGAGATTGCGGAGCATCAGCTGCTGGTGGCGGTGTCAGCAGGTCTTATTCCGACCCCTGGCGAGGCCTTGAAACTCTACGATTTCAGGGGTCAGCTGGGCCAAGGGACCGCCACTGGTGACGGCCCGAAGACTCCATCAGTCGGAAGCGTGCAGCGTTTTGAGTTCCATACCCGTGGCTGTCGTGCCCTCGGGTTGTGGCGCAGGTCGCTTGAGGAGTGGCCACAGTGGGTGGGGTCGATCTCCAAGGACTCCTTGGTCCTTTGCCACAGCTCTCAGGTGTCAAGCGGGTCATCTTTGGAGAAACGTCACCTGGTTCCAAATCCCCATGGATTGAAAGAGGTCACCTCCCTATGTTGGGGAGATGAAGATGTTCTCTACAGCGGTGGCACGGATGGTACAGTGAAGGCCTGGAAGGTGTGTGAAAGCTCCTGCGAGCCGCTGTGGTCTACCTCTGTGGCTGCTGGATCCTGGGTCCGAAAGATGGTGGTAGCCGCAGACTCCGAGGTCGGCCATGGCTCTGGATGTTTGGTGGTCGGCCATTCTGAGGGTGTTGCGTGGCTGGATCCGCGGCTGCGGGAAAAGGTGATAGGAAAGCTGGAGGGATATGGTCAGGCGCATGCGGCCTGTGTGGTGGGCGCCCAAAGATTGGTGCTTGCCTTGGGGCGACAGTTGGCTGTCCTGGATTTACGTTTGGGGCATGAAGTGTTGGCCGATGACTTCCAGGCCACCATTGTGTCGTTGGAGGTTCTTTCTCAGTTGCCTGGCCGGATAAATCTGCTGGCCGGGTTGAAGGACGGCATGGTCCAAGTTGTGGACGTAGCGACCACGATGCATTTGAAGTGACATCTAATGAATCAGGTGACTAGTTTCCAAGTGCCCAAGGGCATCCAGAGCTGCTGGGGCCGAAAACAATGGGACGCTGCAGCCTGCACGATAGGCTCCTGCCACTTAAAACTGGTTTCACAGCATCATTGACATTATCATTATATATACATATAATTATATATTATGATATATTATGAAACATATCCATTTTAAATTGGCATTTTTTGTCGACAACTTGACTTGTGGGGTATTTATTGATCACCCCATTTCCAAGTGAAAGGGGGTATTGCTGAAAGGCCGGAACAAGTGGAAGAAGAGCTGCAAAAGGAGCCGGAGCCCTCCACGTCAGAAGCTGAGTTGCCCTGCCATGGGTAAGAACCAAGAGTTGCAGATGTGAAGTAACAAAAATAGGCATGTGCTTGATATTCTCTGGTTTTGAAGGTTTGGCAATCTAATCTGGCTGCAGGAAAACAATCCATGAAATTATAGATTAATCGACTATAGACTATAAAGTCTCATTTAGAATGAGGATTTGCCATTGCCAGGAGGATTGGCAACAAGAGTTTGCAGTAGACTATCTTGAGGATCTTGTCGCAGATCGCAAACACAAATTGGGATATGAACAGGGAATTCTTCCGCAAACATCAATTTCCAATTTCCTACAATCTTCAACTAGTTTTCCTTGGCCCAAGCAGGTGGTTGTATGGTAAGAATTTTAAACGGAAAGGGCGGTTGACGTAGCGGTTGAAAGGATGATCAGTTTTTCACCAGGGAGTTGAGGCACATGCAGAACTTGTGGGAATTGCCTTTGTTTCCCTAAGGACTCGCCAGGCCTGATTTTTCTGAAATTTTAAAAAGATTGGGCCAGGGTGGGACTGGGTACAGGGCTCCTCCCCAAGGCATACACAACTCAGGGGTATCCCACATTTTGAGATTCAAACCATACACCAATGTGGGCCAGTAGCGGAACCTTTCGCGGCTTAGAAATTGGGGGTCCACTGCTGTCTGCGTTTGTCATTTGTCCCTTCTGTTGTGTCAACTGCCAAGATTCCTTCCACTATCTTCCACTGCAATTGTGGTGCAAGCATGGTTACTGCGTTGATTTCAAAGGAATGATAAGGCAAACAATGAATTTAGAATCAAAACATTGTGGTTTCCCGTTAAGTTAATATGCACGTATATGTTTTGCACATACATAAAATCTAAGAATCAACCCAATTGCGAACAAGAACTCCTAACTGTCAGAATTTGGGCTTTGACTGCCAGGACGTGGTGGATCAAGCGCTTCAGAGAGCTTTGGGAGGTCGCTGATACATTGCGGGCGCCCACGAGGAACACTAATTGAAATCCGCCACTCGCCCCACTCGCCCCACTCGCCCTACTTGCCCTGGGCTAGCAAATTAATTGAAATCCGCCACTCGCCCCACTCGCCCCACTTGCCTTGGTAGGAAAATTAATTGACTTTGGCCACTCGCCCCACTCGCCCTACTCGACCCCACTCGCCCTACTCGCCCCACTCGCCCTACTCGCCCGACTCGCCCCACTCGCCCGACTCGCCCCACTCCCCCCACTCGACGCACTTGCTGCGGAGGTAAGCAGAGCAAGTGCAAGCTGGGCAAGCGGGGCAAACGGGGCAAGCGGGGCAAGCGGGGCAAGCGGGGCAAGCGGGGCAAGCGGGGCAAGCGGGGCAAGCGGGGCAAGTGGGGCAAGCGGGGCAAGCGTGGCAAGCGGGGCAAGGGGGCAAGCGGGGCACGCGATATACACTGACAGGCCCCATTTTGCGCAAATTGGAGCTCCCACCTGATAAACGATAATAGTCAAAATTACTTTCCTCGAGTGGCCCCGGTCAACTGGCATTCTAGTTGACATGTATATATATATATTATATATATATTATATATATATATATATATATATATATTGAGATTCTATCGGGCATTCTTTCTGGCATTCCATCTGCCATATATTTTGAGATTGTATCTGATTATTTTGGTATTCTCTCTGGCATTCTATCTGATATTCTATCTGGCATTTTGTCTGAGATTTCATCTGACATACTGCCTGACATTCTACCTGGCATTTTTTATGGGAGTCTATGTGGCATACATTCTGACATCCTATCTGGCATTCTTGCGGGTCTGTGTTTCCAGATGCATGTTTCCCACTTGCAAACATTGGCTCTATCTGGTGGTGCCACTTGCCACTGTCAAGATTAGCGGCCCTTGGCTTACCTGTGCTCTCTGAGCCGGGCTGTCGATGGTATCTCGAGCATACAAAAGTACAATCACAAGGATGTATGTTATTTACCCGTACTTGGTTAGGCAGTGGGCCGTATGGAAATATAGAGATTTGGTACAGTGGTTCGAACCAAGCCAGTAAGTAGCGACGCAAAGTGTGCTGGTGTATATAATGTCTTGAGCTGTAAATTGCAGATTCTGTTTGTGATTGGGACATCTTGAAGTCAACAGCGAGATGTCAGGAACTAATCTCCCGGCGGCAGGAATTCATCATTTGTACCGTTACCACGACTGCCCTATTTGGAGTCGTTTTTTTTGCAGTTTATCTTCACGCTCATGCCCGGGGCCGGGGTTGAATTTGGTGGAGTGATTGTGTCTTTGCGGGCAGGATCGGCATTGAGAGATAACGTGAACTTTAGAACCTTGATTTCGAATCTTGTTGCTTGTTTCAGATGTTTCCGAAAGATTTCGTTTTGAGTCATGTCAGCTTTAGACGCTGCGCACTTTTCGGCTCAAGAGAATCTCACAGAGACGGGTCAGTGAAACTGGCTCATTCCTGATAGCACGCATCCATCGCCGGACCAGCGCGCATCTTCATCAAGCTGTTGTGAAGTTGCCAACTTCTGGTAGTCGCCGGGCTACTGTGGAACTTTGCCAGCACTTGCTTCCACGGCCATGCATGGCTTGGGAATATACTTTTGATTAATGCTGGGGGCTTTAGCTGCTCCCCGATGATTTCAGATCAGCTGTCTCAAGGGCCAGGAAACGATTCAGCTTCGTTCGAAAAGCGCAGAAAAAGCCGGCTGGCTTGGTTGTGGTCTGTGTCATGCTGCATACTGCCATTACTTCAAAACCACTCACCTGATTTTCGTTTTTTTCCCAGTTTTCCAGGTTCGCAGACCGCGCTGCAGCTGTACTGCACCATGGTGTCCTTGTTTGCGTCAAACACCTTCTCATCTCATTTTGTTTTTCTCGATTTTCCTGGTTCGCAGTCCTTGCAGCAGCTGTGCTGCATCATGGTTTCCTTGTTTGCATCAAAGTTGCAGTGCCATGTTGAATGTGCCTATTTGCAACTGTCGCTCCCGTTGTTCTCAAGTTGATCGCCTGAGCTACTGTTGTCCACCTGTGCTCTCCGAGCCGGGAAATTGACTTAAACAAATATATTCGCTGCATTGGCCGCCATGGAAACGCAAGACATAACTGCGGTACTGCCCAGTAGGGAAACAGCAGACTGTCACGCTAGCAGTATCAGCCAAGGTTCAGGAACTCAAAGAGATTTTGCAGCGATGATATGATTCCTGGACGCGCGAGGTGCGGTGTTGCGGGTCGATGATATGATTCCTTCGGCTGCAAGCGCACACTGCGTTACATGTGTCGCGCGTTTCCCTTGTCTCGCTTCAACCTGGAAAGCCTTTGCTCTGTGGTGTCACAATGAACGTGTAGTGATGGGGGCATCCTGCCTACGGCTCCGACAGCTCTGGTGTGTGCAAGCGCCTGCGCAAAGTGGTGCAGATCGTTGCCAGCGGCCGCGCTTTTGCCGCAGTGACATCATACGGATCTGTTGTTACCTGGGGCTTGCCGAAGATGGTTGCTGACAGGGCAATGGTACGGCAGCAGCTCTATGATGTGAGAAGCGTGACTGCAGCTGCCCAGGGCGCATTTGCCGCCCTTCGTCATGATGGGTCTGTCGTCACCTGGGGTCCAAGCCAAATTGAAGGGAGTGACGCAGATTCACAGCACGCATACTGCATTCGCTGCCATTGTGTTGGATGGGTCCGTGGTTGCTTGGGGAGACCCCTAGTAATGGAGGAGACAGCTCGATGGTCCAAGACCGACTTCAAGGCATTGTGAATGTTCAGGGCAACCCTTATGCATTTGCAGCTGTCACGGAGGAAGGGTCGCTTGTCACCTGGGGAAAGGCCACCTTGGGGGGCGATAGTTCTGTGATACGAGAAAGTCCGGCAAGTCACACCCTCTTTGAAAGGGTTCTTTGCCAATGCTGACGGATGTCAAGTTCATACATGGGTCTGCCAAAGCGTTTGCAGCAGTGCGCTACAATGGATCCATTGTTACATGGGGAGCGCAGGACGGAGGCGGGGACAGCTCCGCAGTGCAATCTGCGTTTGCCACTTTCTAGTTGCAGTGGCCATTAATGTTGCTACTGCAGCTGCGGCAAAATTAGACATCTTCACAAACTTGGACATATGGTATAGACAAACAGGCCTGCGGAACAGCCTGCTATGGTGTAAAAATTTGCGATGGGAAGCTGGGCGCAATGGTAATCTAGTGGTCGAAATAGTCGGGACATCCTCTCAATCCCTCAGATGCACTGTCCGCTGCAGCTGCCCTGCGTGCTCAGAGAACTTCATGCTTTTTAACTACAGTGTGGTGTAGCATTTGCTTGTTTGCGCCTATCTTCATCCGTTGGGCTCAAATTTAGGCACCTGCGCCAGTATTGTCAACCTGTGCTCTCCGAGCCGGGCGATTGACGTAGACATCGTGACATTGAGCTGATATGTAGATGTACGTGTTCATGCTGTGAACAAGATCATCATTGTCATTTACAACCTTGTAGCTCTCCTTTGAAGCCATGGCCGACGAAGCGCAAGCGACTCGGCGAGCCTTCACCATTCAGGGGCCGCAGGTTGCCTTAGCTATGCTGCGAGGTTCCAAACGCATAGAATCTCGGAAGAGGCGGATGGCAGCTGGCTGGTACTATTTTCACGTGGGCCGTTAGTCAATCAACAGCTTGCCCCCCGAATGTTCGGCCGCCTTGCGCCAGACATGGCCGGATGCGCCAGAGGAAGCTTCTTTGTCCAAAAGTTGCGTGGTTGGGATGGTGTGCCTAGGGAAGGTGATTCAAGCCAGCAGGGTTGAAAACCCATGGGTCTGTGCCTCCTTGCCGTTGGTCCCCGAGATTGTTGCCATAGAGTTCAGATCCCCAGTTCGATGGGAAAAGGGGAAGCAAGTTGTCTGGCATGTCAAAGAAGGAGAGATGCAAGGGAAGCTGAAGGAAGCAACCGCCTCTGGGATTCCTTGTGGCCAACTGCAGAAGATGAGGGACCCGCTGCCAAGCGCCAGAAGCTCACGCAGCCGCCTTGGAAAAGCAAGAAGCGGAAGCGCCGTTCTGACGCTGGGAACACCGGCAGTCCGGCTCAAGTTTCCTTCACAGCATCCAAGCGTCGCCGGCTGCTTCTTCGCAGCCCTTTGCAAAAGCCGAAGTTGGCAAAAGCACCAGCATCAGAAGCCTTGCAGGCCAGCACAAGCCCGCAGAGGGGACCTGACCGTTGCAGTCTTGCCCAACGGGTGGCAGCAGGAAGGACGTTGGAGCTGCTGACGACACTGATGGCAAAGTCACACAGTTGCAGCCCACGGTCTCTTTGCTTTCCGGGACGATCAGCCAGTGTTCATTCTGAGTGTACGGACAAGCAGAAAAATTCCTTTGGCTGATGTGGTTCCATTGAAGCAGGCAACTTTTCAAGGACGAACCGTCCTCAAAGCCAAATACACAGAGACCCGCACATGCAGATGGAGTGAGCTCAAAGATGTCGGCTTACATTTCCAGATTGCCAACTGTGCGAATGATCGCCGTGGAGCGAGTGGCTTGGCCTCGATGATTTTTTTTGTAACATGTTGCCATCCTTTAAAGAGAGACCCGCAACAGATTGTTTTTATGTAGCCTTGCATGCCTAGGCTTGCCGTTCCAGAAGCAACCGGGGGAAACACAAGGAGATCAAGGCAGAGCTTTGCGCGAGAATGCAGCTTTGGCAGCTCGCTGGCAGGCTGGCAATGCAGAGCTAGGTTTGGCCACTTCATGCACAGTTGATCACTCGGTGCGATCCGTTGTGCCAGTGCGTTTGCGGGCGCACCTGGCCGAACGAGCTGCTTCAGGTATTACCCATCACGCGGCCCCACGCGCAGATGAGAGCCGTTCCTTTTGGATTCCGCGACTGAATTAGTTCTGTCTACCTGTGTTCTCGGAGCCGGGCAATGTCAGGACAGTATATCATTGAGTCATTGAATCTATTAATGCAACACAATCACACACAAGCAGCATCAGAGTCACCCTTTTAAAGCCTCTAGCCCTATGTTAATGGCAACGCAGCGCCCTTTCTGCTGACGCCGCAAGATGCCTTCCCCCGGTGATGCTGGGTATGGAATTTGGCTGGACAATTTTTATTGTGGTGTGCGATCCATGGCTCCGTTTGGTGTGTGGCTCCCTTGGCAGGAGGGTGTGACCTTAGCTGCAGCCTTTGGCTTCACAGAGAATGTATGCTTTGAATGCGCTGACACCTGGTTGCAGCTGGATGCTCTGGAATTTGACCCTCCAAGGCGGTCTGGAGATGGCAGCGGCCGGGCAGATGTGCAGCGGATTCGCTTGCTCTACAAGCGTGATTTACACGGAGATGATGGGCTCGTTATAGTTTCCTGTGACGAGGAGGATGTCATCTCCCCGCAGCATGCTCCACCAAACGTATGTAGACGCTGGCGTTCAGGTGCATTAGAGCCCATTGCGGGTGTTGAAGTTGACCTTGCATTGCCGCGGGCGCTGGATGAGCAAAATGTTCGTCTCTTGCTTGTCTATACTGGCACCTGTACAGTCAAGTTGATCAAGAACGTCCGCCTGAAAATTTGCCGCCAGACATTTCGCTATGGGCTTGGGAGTTGTTTTCAAAACCAAGATTTCATTGGACTGAGGCTCGGGTTCAAGCGTTGCAAGAATCTTGTTTGCAGACGCTGCAGGCCGCAGACAGCAAATTATCCGTACCTGATTAGCGCCGCCCTGGCTTCGTCCACTGCGACCTGTGGGTCTCAATGGCACGGACGATATTGTGCTCTCAATCGCAAGAAACTTCCAGAAAGCAGTCCTTTTGTACACTAGGCCAAGCAGTTTTTGATCATGTCGCGAGGTTAAAAAAATTCGCTGCGCGCTACAGAAGTGTTGAAACTGAGAGATGTGGAGGGCATGTGAACATTTTCACATTGTTCCGGCTGTCCACGCAGCGCAGCATGCATGAGAGCCAGTTTGGTTGCATGGAGTCGATATCACGCTTGGGACTGCAAAGGCAAATCCGACAAATATGACCATGATACCACGCATTGACAAGTGCTCTCCGGTACCCAAGCCGCGCCATCAAGTTCAAGTTGTAGGAGTTAGCTTCCTAGACATGGCCACGTGTGAAGTTTGTGGAGATGGTTTCGCAGACGATGCGGAAAAACACTTGTGCTCCCCGAGCCGAGACTCTTGCTCGCACGTGTGCCACGCGGATTGCTTGCAGCAATACCGATTAAAGCAGGGCTGCCCTATGCATGACTGCCCATTCTGTCTTCAGAATGAAGATTCCCAGGAAGAGGCTGATGATGCCGCTTTGCAAGAGATGGAGATTGAGGCAGCAATGGAAGCAGAGGCTGTGGCTGAGGGGGTAAAAAGAAAGACCAGAGAAGAGGCAGCTTCGCCTGTCCGTGCGGGTGGGGGCCCAGCGGGCAAGAAGTTAGCAACCAACGCAAGCCCGCCAGCAGGACAACGCAGCCCAGTGCCGCCCACCCAAAGATCCCCAAGCCCAGAAAGCCCTCCCTTCACACAGGGTGGAAGTGAAGCAGCCCGCTTGTCCATTCCAAGCTTTGGGATTGACATCTACGACGACCTGAGTCGGACCAGCAAGGCATCTACCACGGTGAAGGATCCTATGCACGACGCCATGTCGGAGTACTTGGCTTGCAGGGATGAAGCACAAAGCCTTTCGTTGCTTCACACCAAGAGCACATATCAAGGGCTTGGAAGCCCAGAGGCTTCTTATCAAACCGTTCTGAATGCAGCCTTGAAAGACCCCAGGGACCACCACGCTGTGGCATCAGACTTTGCCTTCAGAACTCGAGAAGTGCTGCCCGTGCCTTTCGAAGTCAGCTTGAGAACCATTGCCCGCAAGGAAGGTTGTGAGCCTGAGACATTCATGGCGCCGATCCTCAGCAACATTGGTTGGATGGAGCATCCATGCAGGCACGCGGCTTCGATTGCAGCCTGATGAGGAGCACCGACGTGGCTGCGTAGTCCAGATTGTTTGCGCAGGTGACCCCAGCATGCGCAAGAGTTATTTGAAGGATTTTACCTGCAAAAAGCTTCTTTCCCATGCAGATGTCCCTGCTGTCATCAAGGCAGGTGGCGCCACATGCACGGATGCCACCATCAAGGGTCTTCGTGCTTCTATCAAAGAATATGCCCGAGCTGGCATCATTTCGGATGAGATTGCCACAACAATATGCCATGACATCCGGGAGGGAGACCCGACACTCAGGTCTGCATTACGGCAACAAAGAAAAGATGTGCACTTGGCTGAACTGCGAAGATGACAAGACAGTCACTGGAGATGGTGCCACGGCGCTGACTCATTACACCTTCGTTCACCAAGTGTATGGACAGGTGTCGCTTTGTGAGTATGTGCTCCAGCCGACTGCAAGCATGTTTTGCAAGAGAATCCATGCGACGTGGCAAACAAGGCCAGTGACAAGTGACCCTGATCAGCAGAGCCAGTCCAGCAAAGAGTTCCTGATTGACTTCTTTGGTTGGATGGGGCGCGTGGCAAGCAACCAGGACAAAGACCACTATTTTGACAAGTTCGCCTTGCCCGTGCTCAGGAAGGCTTTGCAGGGAATCTCCGACTTCTTTCACGAGAATCACGAGAATCACGAGAATGTAGAGGAACCAATCTAACAGAAGCTACGCTATGCTGACACAGATGTGGCTCGGTACGCTAATGCAGCCATGCGTTGCAGGCAGTATTCTGAGGCCCGAGCGCGTTGGCCCTTGATAGGATCATAGATGAGTTTGCCGTTGAGATGACCATCTTCGATTTGGGACATGCCTTGCATATCTGGCGTCGCCAAATGTGCTTGTGGTTTGCCTTCTATCGCTCCAAGCAAGTCCAAGCCTTGGTAGGCCCCAAAGCAGTGCCAGATGTCAAGCCCCCAGGACTTGCAGATTTGGATGCCAAGATGAAATTGCAGCGAGTCATTCTGTCCAATCCTCGATGTGCTGGTCCAACCTCCACTGCGCACATTCGCTCTGTTCTGAAGTACCACTTTCAGAAGGAGAGAGAGGAAAAACCAGCAAAGTTCGTCTTGGCAGCAGTTAAAGACCTCTTGAAAGTTGGCATCTTGCAAGAGGTTGACAAGAAGGAAGTGGAAGAACAGGCGCCCAAACTTAAGGACAAGAAAAGCGCCAAGAGCAAGGAGGCCACGCTAAAGAGCGAGCCACGAGGCCCGCCAGGTGGCCACGCTGTCCTGTACTACCAGACATGTGCCTGGGAGGGCCTTTTGACTAATTCGGAAGCTCAAGACATGATTGCCAAGCTTCAACTGAGTGCCAATGATTTCAAGTAGGATTCCAGAAATACGAGGTCTTGCACGGTCCCATGTCTAAACTGTCAGCCCAAAAAAAGAGTGACAATGTGCTCCAAAGCACTTGTTGTATATAAGTCTTGTTTCCAAAGATACGCGTCAATAATGGTGCGATTCCTCGAAATTAAGCTCTGGCTTCTTTCCAGCCCGAGCGTGTTCCTGACCCTACGAGGTGAATGCTTTCAATCAAGACTGTATGGTGGCTGCAACATATTGTGCGTCAATTTCAATCAACCCACCCATTTTCATGACAAGACATTGTGGTGTGAAGATCTTGCATAGTGGTTCATCATGGTGTCCAAAGCCACATTCAAAACAGTCTGCTTGGCCTTCTAGTGTTCAATCGTGTGCGCTGGTGGCATGAGATTGACAAAGGCCCAATCTATTCTTTTTGAGGCAAAGCGGACAGCCAACACCGCGGCTCCAAAATAGTTTGTGCGGCGCATATGAAGCCACTGTTCGCTGAACATAGCCGTTCGAGATGTTGAAGCAAGACACATGTTTTATTTGTTCCTGATCAAGTCCAAGAAAGAATTGAAACTTGCACCTGTTTATTCCGTTTTCTACCATTTCTGTTTTCTACCATCCTTTCCGACTGCGATATAATTTTTCTGCTTCATGGGGGAAGAAGACTCACGGGAGTCCTGTCCACACCGACCATGTCGCTGACTCCTGCGTCTGCAGGTGCCGATGCTAAGTGGCACCATGACAATGGCTTCTACCTTAGGGATTCAGCAGATGCTGATGCCAGCATGCGTGATGTTGGTACGCAATCAAATAGAGATGGCACAATAGTCCACTCCTCACTGTGACCATCGGGTCTGTGGTCCCGCGGGGCACGTGCACTGCGCGTCGGTGCGCATTCCCGGAATGGCTGGAGGTTGCTTCCGGTGATGCTTGATGCTTAATGTCACATTGGTGTCATGTAACGTTCAACGCAATTTTTCTAGGACATGTTTAAACATAGTCGATCTTTGTTTGGTCTCATACAGACCTTGTACAAAAGGATCTTGCACAGCAGCGTCTAGAAAGAACCTGTCAAGGAGATCTTGCACACGTCTTCTACAAAGGGAACTTGCAGAATCCAATCTGGTATTGATGCCACGGTGTTTGGAGTCGCCACTTAATCCCCGTCGGCCGCTCCACTCGCCCCACTCGCCCCCCTCGCCCCACTCGCCCCATTCGCACTCGCCCCACTCGCCCCACTCGCCCCACTCGCCCCACTCGCCCCCCTCGCCCCACTCGCCCCACTCGCCCCACTCGCCCCACTCGCCCCACTCGCCCCACTCGCCCAAACATTCCATTCACGTTACCACCTCTATTCCTTTTTCATATTGCTGTGTGGTGAAACCAAAGCAAGCAGGGCAAGCGGGGCAAGCGGGGCAAGCGGGGCAAGCGGGGCAAGCGGGAAGAACCACCGATCTTCCCTCGGCTTGCAAGTAGGGCAAGCGGGGCAAGCGGGGCAAGCGGGGCAAGGAGGAAAATTCACTTATTTTCCCTAGAAGCGGAGCAAGCGGGGCAAGCGGGGCAAGCGGGGCAAGCGGCAGAAATCACTTAGCGGCCCCGCGGGGCACCCACACTGCGCTGATAGGCATTGAATGGTTTTGATAGCTTCGGCAGCCTGGGGGCAAGGCCTAAGTATCCAATAGGCCAATAGGCCAACACCAGTCCCGTTTGGTTTGCTGCTGAAACTTTAGCGACCCAATCGCAAGTGATGCATTCACTGGGCGGTGTACAGTTCGCCCGTGTGGATGTTGGCTTGGGCTGACGGCCGGCGATTGATTGTGTGGACGGCATTTCCACAGCTTGCCGATCACGAGTGGTTAAAAGTTGTCCTGGGGCCACAACAAAGCACTTCGCACGCTGTGACTCAGATGGGTATGGAGTTATAAAAGTTATTGGCATCCCCGAAACACGATGGTTCATGGTTGATTGCAACTTGCCATCTTGCCGCATTTTTTTTTCCAATTTGCTTTGGACCCATGTCCAGATGAACCAAAAGTTCTGGTTCCATTTGTCAGCCGCAAGCTGAGCTCATTTTGAGAACGGAACTGCGCCTCATTTCTCGGAAGCTTCTGCTCGTAGATCGCAACACACTCCAAGAATGACTTGTTTGTAGATCATTTTCATCATGCTTGACAGGATTAATCGCGCTTAGACAGACCGAGAGATAGACAGATAGATGATGATAGATGGATGATAAGATGATAGACGGATGCCCATGTTTGGGTAAAGAGGTATTGTAAAATGAATATTAAGATATATACATATCCATATTTTGTTTGATAATGTGACCGAATTGAATTCCCACGATGAAGTGTCATGGGTGGTCAAATTCCACACCTGCAAGCATCCTAAAGGCATGGGGCCTCATGAGACGTTAGTTCGGACCTAGAGTTCGCCACTTCACCATGGGCCATGGCCTTGCGGGTGATCAGCGGCTTAAAGGATGTGGGGCCACCGAGACCCGATGCCCTGAATGTTCTTGGGATGTTCTTGGGATGTTTGCCAAATGTTTGCGAAATGTTTGCGACTCTCTTGGTGTCTTCTTGGCCAACTGTCCATGATCCAAGAACTGCCAGCTGTCGCCAGGTGGCGAGGCTGTATCGATGTGTGCTTTTCGAGGTGCGAGACCCAGATGGGTTAAACCATGTTAAACCCAGAGGTGCAAAGAGCTTCTTTGAAATGAATGGAGAAAGGGATCGAAGACGATCTTTTTGGAAACGCTCCACTCTGTTATCCCTTCATTTGAGGGTTCTGAATTCTCCAAAAAGGTTAAGTCCATCCAAAAATCATGGCGCGCCTGAAGTGTACTGGAATTGTCCGAAGTTCACACCCAACAGAAAAATCTTGAAACCAATTTTCCAGCATCATTTTCCGAAGATCAATTTGTTTTTCCCCGGACTTCAGAGTTGAAGCCTCCCTTGCCTCATCCCTAGGCCTCCACCCTGCGGCTGGGCCCGGGAGGCCCATGTGGTGCCGGGGCGCTGCGCAGCGCCAAGGAGCTCCTGGAGAGGGAGAAAATGGTGCGGGATCCGAGCGATGTTAGGGCGATCAAAGATTGGGATGCCACAAATGGGAAGATGAAACCCCAAAGAAATTGGGGATTTCACCACCTAAAGTCCTAAAGTTAGTTATTTATGAAGAAAGAGCCGGTTGGCATGATCACCGACTTTGACTCTGATTCTTGGCGTGCATACCACCAGCCGGATGGGTTTCGACCACATTTTCTTTTCCAATTAGGGATCCTGTCAATTTCCTCGAAACCAGCGTAAATTATTGTTCTGCAGATTGGGAATACCCATTTCACTTCAGAAATCACCCACACTTTGACCATCCTCCTATGGGCCTTGGGAACATTTCTTTTGTGTCATGAGCTTGGCTGCGCTTTCAGTCTTTCACTGGTTTTCAGTGCTAGACTTTGCTAGATGTCCAAGATGGCGCCTTTTGGAATTGGGTGTGAACATGACGCAAGATGACGAGGTCTTCACTTCATAGTTGGCCGCGATGAGTTAGCAGTTAACACCAGGCAAACAAGAGAGCCTTTTCGCATCCCGAAGAACAACAATCTTCATGGCAGTTCCCAGCAATTCCCGTAGATTTTTAAATAGTTTTAATATTTTTTGGGATTGGTAATTTATATTGTAGACTATTTTCTTGGAGAAACCATGAGTCAATGAGCTTTCCACATCTATGTTAGTTTACCCGGGGGAACCACCAATTCACCAATTCAGTTTTTCGGTTGTATGCCAGTCATGATGGGAGAACCAGGTGGCCGCTGTCAGCGGGAATGCGCTGCAGGCCAAGGCGCGGTGCGGTGGGTGCGATGGATCGACCCAAGGGATGCCACTGGTAGGGTGGTAGGGTGGTTCCATCCCCAAGAAAAGGTGGTACGACCACTTTGTTGCAGGATCCAAATCTTCCAAGTGGGTAAAACTCTTTGCAAAAGCGTACTTGGAACGTGTCAGGCTTCACTTTCCCGCAGGTTTTCCCACAGTTTTCCCACAGTCTTACCCAATATGATTTGATTCCTGCCATCATTCACCAAGACAACATTAGTCCACCCAGCCAGCACCTCAACCAGACGCAATCTTAACGCATAGGCTCAAATGGCCGCCTTGCGCGATGGTGGCATGCCTGCAGGGCTTCTCAGCTGAGGTGATTGATGGGGTAATTTAGATATATTTAGATAACTTGGGATGGATCATGATGAAGCGATGGTGCAGCGACTAAGTTGACACATCTGATCCTTGTTAGAAGGAAACAAATTGGTCACATAGTTAAATGGCTTGGTGGCCCATGATGAAACATCACCTGGCATCTGATGAGACCATGACGCAGGTCATGCAGGCCATGTAGTTTTATTTTTTTTTTGGTGAAATGCTCTCAAGGCCGGCGTGCAAAGTTGGACCTCGGGCGAGCTCATCAACAGGTGTGTATGGGAGGATCTGGTTGGGCATTTGCTATTCAAACCCTATAGAAAGAGCGCCCAAACCTGGGAATTGGATGTACTTTGCTTGATTTTCTGTTGATTTTCGGTGAATCTCAGAGCCATTCAATGGTCCACCTTCAGAGGATTTCTCTGTTTGGGCCTGGAATGTATTTCATAGAATGACCAGTGGACAATTTTGTCCTATATTGATTATATAGCATGATTTTGAGTCAGAGATCAGGCTTTTGAATCAATTGACTGGCGAGATGAAGCAGAGCAGTAGCGATAAACGGTTTGCAGGAGCTTGCAGGGAGCAGAGCTACCTGCTCCTGAGGCTCGGATTTCAGATTGTGCTTGATGCATGCCGTGATATAGTCATCACATATTCTGTGGTCATAATGATATTTGTGTGGTTTGAATAGGTATTCTCCATGTCTTTCATATGTATCCCCGCCCAGGCGCTGAAGGCGCTGGCCTCTCCACCACGGATCTTTGAGTGGGAGCCTTGGGTGGGGGCCATGCGGTGGGACCATTTTCTTTGGTAGCTGCCCGCATTTGATCCACAACAACCCTATGTTGACATGGTTGCTGCTTGGTGTAAAATTGCATCTAAAGGAACTTCAAAGTGATTTGGATCTAAAACAATCGTAATGGTTTGATCATCCCAAACTGACCGACTTTCACATTTTTTTTTGGGGGATGGATGGCCGAGGCTGGGCACCTTCGTGAAACCCCGCAGGTGGACGGAGCTGGTGCAGAGGAACCCGCCCTTGGAAGGTTGGGATCGCTTCAAGGTTTGGGAGACTTTGATCGTGCCGCTGTTTGTGTGAAGAGCAGAGAAGTACCCAGATTCACCAGGTGGGTCGTTTCAACTTTCTCCCCTTTCTTCCCTTTCTTCCCTAATATTTGTTTGGGACTCAAAATCATTCTCCAACAACAACAGCTGGTAGCCACCTATGGCTCCATTGGTATGTCCCCAGTATATCCCCAGCTCAGCAGCTCAGCTACCAGGCCTAGTGAAGGCCAACTTGGTGAAGCGTGTGGACTCCGTGGAGAAGGCGGATCTCTGCTACTGGGACGCCCAGGATGGAGATCGCCTGGACCATTGGTTGGAGGCGCCATGGGGCACCGATCTGCAGCTGAAACAAGCACGGTAGTTGGGTGGGTTGAAAAACCAGAGGTTTTGGTAGGAACTGAGATGTTAGATTCAAATCTAATCAAATCACATGACATTTCTAATGTCATTTCATGACATTTCTGCAATCTAAATCGAAACTTGTGATGTCATCCCTTCCCAGCGAGGCCGTGGTGGAGCTCTGCGTGGACCTGCAGGTCCCATTGCTCCAGCCCAAGTGGGGTGCGGCTGCGTTGGATGCCATCGCGTGCGGGGGCCTGGGGAGAACCAGTTGGAGATGTTGGAGATGGGATCTAGATCAGATATACTGAAAGTTGAAAGGGGTATATAAATTGATGTATTACATGAATTTACATGATATGTATTTTATGTATTTGTATTTGTATGGTATTATGATGATGTATTACGATGATGTATTATGATGATGTATTATGCGAATGAGTCTGTATGAGTCAACATTGTCTAACATTGTACATTGCAAAATAACCATATTGCAAGAAAGGGGGCAACATGTGTGTGGCTTTCCGGGCCTCAAAGTTTGACCACCGTCTCCGGGCTGCTGCCTAGGCCTTTAAACGACGCCACCGGCACCCTGGAGTCAGTGGCGTTGAAGATGAAAAGGTCTGGGGCCGACAGCATGGCTTCTGAATCACAGATTCCGAACGGATCCTGCAGTGAAACCCGCAAATAGATTCTACCATGCTCTCTCATCTATTGTTGCTGACCTCATGGGAACTCGGAACTTTCCAAAATCCTAACAAGATCATATTCAGAAGTTCTCCTCAATTTGTGATTTTCCCAAATTTCTCGGTGTTTCATCTCCCCCCATTTTGCACTGTCTCTTCGGTGCTTCAGCCCCGTGGCGCAGGTTGGGCGGCCGCCTGGTCTCTTGCGGCAAGTTGGATGGTGCCCTGGAGGGCCTGGACTTCCAGGGCCTGGCGCCGCGGGATGTGCTGCTGGTGACCGGCAGCCTGGGGGACCTGGTGGAGGTGAGCCTAGATGATACTACGGATGGGAATCATTTATGACCCATTAGGGATATGACCTATATTTACCAACCATATCCAACCATACTACAGGGATATTTTTCATGGCTTGTGTCCTTTGGCGAATTTGTCCCAGGCGTCGCAGCACGGCGCCGATGTGCTGCTGCTGTTGGATGCGGATGTGAAGCAGCAGCTGAGAACGTGGACTGAGGCACTGGGGATTGGTTTAGTCGGGAAAATATTAACCGGTTTAAGCCCCATAATTCATGGGAAAATCTATGGTTTCCAGTTAAGATTTTCCCTTAAACCAATCCATTGATTTGAGAATTCCCAGTTGCACATGGGGGTTTTGATCCTTGCAACTGGTCATTGGCCGAGCAGATGTGGTTGCGCCAGGTTGAAGCACGTCATGAGACGCAACGGCGCAAGACCATGTCGGTGTCAGCACCTCGGAGGATCTGAGGCTTGAGATTTGGCAGACATTTTCTGTCTCGGAATATCTCGGAATTGGATGGAAAACCTGTAGGAAAGCACAGGAAAAGCTGCAGTAGCACAGAATTTTCTAGGTCTCAACGGGTGGCCGAAGACTCCCCGCGGATGATGGCAGCGGCAGGGTGCTTGGTCCGTGGCAGCGGAGGGGCATGCAAGACCGGAGGTATGACTCTTTTGAGTCGTGATTTAGCACCGTCCGTTCTTGTTCGTTTGGGCTTCGCGATTTATTTGATCATCAAACCAGCGTTTCTGATATGCAGTAAAGTCAGTAAAGTCATCTTCAGCCCTTCCTGGTCCAGAGAGAGAGAGAGAGAGACATCAGGACTTCCCTCGACTTTCACTTCTTGGTGGCAAACCTCCGAGGCCAACAACCCCTTCCTCTCCGTTTTTCAGCTGCCGAGCCTCCTGGCAGAGGCACACTCCACTTAGAAATGCCATGGGAATTTTGGGAAGTTTCTGCAAGGTTTAGAAAGATGGCATTGATGTAAGCCATTATCGGCAAAATTTTGTACTATTGTCTATGCTTTATCATGGGGTCATCGATTCTGATGCATCCAGTTCGACTGAACAAGATGGACGGTTGTTTTCTGAGTCAGTCTGTGGTGCAAGAAACAGCAAGGCATCTCCTTTCCATTCCAAAATTCATTCGACTTCCCCGGAGTATGGTGGCACTCCCTGTACGAAGGCCGCCGCTTCAAACCGAAAGCACCGGGAGATGAAGGAACGCGAGCAGCGGTCCAAAGCGGCCGCAGCTGCAACTGCTTCTGTTCCTCCAGCGGAAGTGCCGGAAGAGGAACCGAAGATGGAAGAAAAGGCCCACTGGGGAACCAGGAGTGGCTTAACGGTTTAACGGCTCACGTCAACATTGTTGTTTCGATATGATATGATGTGAGTCATGTATACTATATATGAGGGCGCGGCGCATAATCCAAAATGGGAATATGAACTGACAAGACTGGGGTGTTTGTTGGATTCCTTTATGGTGTGAAAAAGTTGCACTGGAGGAGTCAAACTCGCCTGCCAACAGGTGGCAGACGATGTGACCGAGCTCTTGGACCGTTGGTGAGGGCCACCCAGCCCTTGATCGTTGCAGGTTCCACGGGTTTGAGGTGATCTTTTAGATGATTGGAGTGATTGCAACGATCCCTGAACTTGCTGATCTTGGGATCGTGGTGTGAAGTGCACACGATTTGCTAAATGATGCTAAATGTATAATAGAATACACAACAGATAGTTTTTTGAACCCTTTGATATAATACCTCGTAGGATGTTGTATGACGAACTCCTTCCCTCGTTGAGTTTTTGTTGGGCGCACGCTCTGAGGTGCAAAGCCACCAAGGTCCCCCTGCCGGTGGCGGTGGTCTGGGGCCCTGGAATGCTGAAATGAAGGTATAGGTAAGGTCCTTGAGGTTCTAAAGAGTTTGAGAATCCTGAATGGCCTAGAACGTCCTGGAACTTCCTTTTCTTTTCAGTCTTCTATATCAACTTCAAGAGAAAATTGAATGGCCAGCAGCAAACATCAGCGGTTCATATTCTGACGCTGAGATGTCCTCCTCAACCCTCTACTGGGACGGCCCAGAGAAGGACCTGACGACTGGGTGAAGTGGCTGCGCCATTGGAGAGCAGTGGCATGTAACATGTGGGCAACGGTGGTGGAGTGTTTGTTGTTTCAATGCCATTGAAAGTGTGCGGAAACTAGAAATGTGCACATGTCATATATCACAATTTACTATACATGTGTATCTTCAAAGGACGAACAAACATTGCATTGAAGTGGCTTAGAGAAATTCTGACAGACCTTGTTTTTGTTGAAATTCTTGTGCCTTCTCTCCACCAGGGCCTCTAATTCCATCGTCTCCTCGGCCGTTAGGAGACGCCTACCGCGGCACTCCGCCGCCCGCGCCCAGCGGCCACGGCCGCGCCTGGCGCCGCGCCTGGCGCGGCGCGGAGGGACCGAGGGCTGCCGAGGGGCACGGGACAGGCCGCGGCGCCCCAAACCGAGGAGTCCTTGGAGAGTCTTCTGGCACAGATGGAGAAAAAGTTTCAGTTCTGGGAGGTTTTCGGGGGCTGGGAGGAGGTGGATCTGTGATCTGGATGAGTTGTGGAGTTGTGGAAAGGGCTCAGAAATGTTGATGTTGGTGCACGTTTGAAGTTTGTGCGAAAACTACAGCTGTTGCTTGGCTATCCGTGGCTCGAAACCTTGGCAAATGCAGGGTGGCATTGATGAAGATGGTCATGCCACTAACCCGGCGAAATGTATATAGTTGCAATCAAATCCTACAAGTAGGACCTTCGACATCGCTTTTTGGCTGCTGGCTGCTCCTTTCAAGCATCATTTTCCAAAAGAAAATCTCAGTTGGAACTTGAGATCAGATAAGCAAAAGGAGTGTCTCACAACTGCTGATTTCCTGGCCATGGTGACTGCTGCTAAGGTTGGGGGGTCAACTGATTTAGGAGGAGCAAGAACAACAATTTGAAAAAAAAACATTATATTATATTGCGCATTATTGCGCCCTTCATGCGGCTAGAGTACTCAGGGAATCTTGGGTTCTGGAGAGTCGGCCACACATGTTTGGCAGCTGGCAGGCAAGGGTGTCTCAAAATGTTTGCACTCAAGCCGTAGCAATTGAGCTCAAAGAAGATTCGCTTGCAAACTTGTGTCCCGAGTGCATACGATGGCAGTGCGCTTTGCTTCCGTGCTTGCCTGTGGCTTCCTGCTGACTGCCCTGGCAGTCCGACCATCGTTGGAGCATCACCACCATGACAAGAATGCACATGTGAAGGACATGCATGTTCACCAGAACTTGAAATCCAAGAGTGGCGAGGAGAAGAAATGCTGTGCAAATTGGGTTGACGATGAGAAGATTGAGTACTGCTGGGCCACGACATCATGCTTGGAATGGGGCCAGAACAGTGACGACAGAGACTACAGCACCGTGGACGACGACCACTGCAAAGCCGCAAGTGATTGCGCGTAGTGGTTCAGCATGCTTCAACCGAGAGAAGCTTTGATCTCTGCTGAAAAAATGTTTGCACCCGCCAAAGTTCAGGGTGCCCACAAAAATCTCCATCTCATGGTCTCTCTTGACTTTGACCGATACGGAGAGCGCGCCTGCATTTGGGTCTCCAATCTCTGGACACATTCTGATATTTTTCTCCACTTACCTTACTCGAAACTTAGATCATTCTGATTAATCGACATATGATATTGACACCTGAACTTTGCCTGCATATGGCATATGATATCATATCTATGCAATACAACCAGGGTTTTTGATAGGTCCATTAGGAAGATCATCAGATCCCATCCATTCGTTGGTATGTTGCAATCAAATCCTACAAGTAGGACCTTCGACATCGCTTTTTGGCTGCTGGCTGCTCCTTTCAAGCATCATTTTCCAAAAGAAAATCTCAGTTGGAACTTGAGATCAGATAAGCAAAAGGAGTGTCTCACAACTGCTGATTTCCTGGCCATGGTGACTGCTGCTAAGGTTGGGGAGGGGTCAACTGATTTAGGAGGAGCAAGAACAACAATTTGAAAAAACAACCATTATATTATATTGCGCCCTTCATGCGGCTAGAGTACTCAGGGAATCTTGGGTTCTGGAGAGTCGGCCACACATGTTTGGCAGCTGGCAGGCAAGGGTGTCTCAAAATGTTTGCACTCAAGCCGTAGCAATTGAGCTCAAAGAAGATTCGCTTGCAAACTTGTGTCCCGAGTGCATACGATGGCAGTGCGCTTTGCTTCCGTGCTTGCCTGTGGCTTCCTGCTGACTGCCCTGGCAGTCCGACCATCGTTGGAGCATCACCACCATGACAAGAATGCACATGTGAAGGACATGCATGTTCACCAGAACTTGAAATCCAAGAGTGGCGAGGAGAAGAAATGCTGTGCAAATTGGGTTGACGATGAGAAGATTGAGTACTGCTGGGCCACGACATCATGCTTGGAATGGGGCCAGAACAGTGACGACAGAGACTACAGCACCGTGGACGACGACCACTGCAAAGCCGCAAGTGATTGCGCGTAGTGGTTCAGCATGCTTCAACCGAGAGAAGCTTTGATCTCTGCTGAAAAAATGTTTGCACCCGCCAAAGTTCAGGGTGCCCAAAAAAATCTCCATCTCATGGTCTCTCTTGACTTTGACCGATACGGAGAGCGCGCCTGCATTTGGGTCTCCAATCTCTGGACACATTCTGATATTTTTCTCCACTTACCTTACTCGAAACTTAGATCATTCTGATTAATCGACATATGATATTGACACCTGAACTTTGCCTGCATATGGCATATGATATCATATCTATGCAATACAACCAGGGTTTTTGATAGGTCCATTAGGAAGATCATCAGATCCCATCCATTCGTTGGTCATACCCTCCATCGCCAAAGCTGGGAAGCTGGGGTCCCACTGGGCCAGGCGCCGGTGAGCAAATCCAACAGCAAGGACCTGGATGAGTCTGGCGGAAACTGGTGCTGCTAGGGGAAGGATTTACAGTTGCTTTCTTTTAAAGGATCTAGCAAAAGCGGAGTTTTTTTTGATTGCAATCGACATACTTGGACACTATGCATATCTTTGAGCGTTGCATCTTGTGATGTTAACAACTGGTTGATTTATTCTCATGGAAATTGATTCCATGCGGCAGATTTGAAAACCATGACAACCATGACATCGCACAACGGCAATTGACGGTACAGGTTGGGATTCCCAAAAATTCTGTGACTACCCTGCAGAGTCGATGATCACATGATGTCATATGCACTTCAGAAAGCAGAAAACCAAGGAGTTCTTGGTTCACCCAGCTTTCAATTACTGGATATGCCCCAGATATGACTTGCAATACCGCTGGGCCTGGAGACATGCCCAACCCAGCAGAGGACATCTCGACAGCCAGCCACGGATATTCCTCCAGCTCCGCAGGTGGGGTCTGGAGCTTTCGCGGACGCAGCATTCTGCAACCAACTTGGGCCTTGGGGTCATGCATCTGGGGCCGGAGGACTTTTTGAATACTTGAAGTACAGTATATATCTTGAAGTCATCCAATTTGTTGGGTTCAATTTTTAAAACCACATATTTGGTGGTTCAAAATTTACCTGGCAGCTCCAACATCGACTTTTGGCCCGGCAATTTCCTCACGCCTTCTAGGCCCTGGAACCCGCACGGAGGTGCCCGGTGGGTGGTTTCATCCTTGCGAAAGATGTCAACCTGGGGAATCTGCTTGAAACTGGATGATGGAAGATTTTTTGGAGGCTAATCACACCTTCGCAGGATTGTATGAATGAAGTTGAGCAATCCTTCATATCTTTGGTGGATTTCCCAACATATATGATGGGGCTTGAATGATCTCAATGTTACGGATGACACCCTTGCACAACGCAGTTGGTGTCCGCAGATTGCACACAGAACACTTCAGCGATGAACAGGTCAAAAGCTCGATCATTCCGCAGCTTGCAGTGCCTCAGACACTCGCATGCCACAAAGATTGAAAGAGCCATGGGCCGTAGTTTGCCAGAGATCCATGCGGAGCTGCGAGCAGCTCTCGAGGGAGCTCCTCCTCCGCAGGGTCGTGATTGGCTCGAGCGGATCAATACAGCACAAGAGTTCGTCAGAAGTCTGAACTTCGAAGATGCAGATATTGTATCAATCAAGGATTTCGCTGTCGCATGTGTCCAGAAGTGGAATCATGACCATCTTGAATTTAACAGGCAGTTGGGCTTAGAGTGCGGCATAGAGGGAGCTCAGGCAATGGCACACCAGCTCGGATGTCTCTTGGAACCGACTCAAGAGGAATTACTTCCTCCGGATGAGCCAACAGATTGGCGGATTTGGGAGATTTTTGCAGCTGCCCAGATCCAGCAGAGGCAGTTCTGCATTTTGACTCAGTATCAGTATGTGATGACATCAAGCTGCAAACTGCCAGAAAACAGTCCCGTGGTACAAGCAATTCAGAAATTTCAAGGCCTGCAAGCATCCTTCCAGCAGGCGCACTCTCACTTGGCCAGCCACATGCGTATCAGCTCAGAGCTCGAGACCAAGCTGACCAATTTTGAGATAAGACTCAGTCAGTTCCTCGATCACGGTTCGATTAACGGTTTGATCGGCTTGTGCGAACTCTCGAATTGGGCCACGATAGTCAAGAATGTCCAATGGATGCAGCTGCGTTGCCAATGGCTTTCCGCCGAAGCTTCCGAGATCGCCGCTGAAGTGGCAAAGTGCACTGCCACCTCTGAGGCCGACTCCCGTTCCTGGAGTGTCATCTCACCAAATCCAAGTGGTCAGGTGGCTGCCATGCCACACGACACTGTCGGAGAGCTTGGGAGCGTGGCATCTGGCTACTCGTTGGGTAGCGAGAGATCCTACTTGTCGGGAAGTGGTGGCCCACACTGCTTTTTGCCCTCGCACCTCTTCAAGGTTCTCCTGCCTGGAGAGGAATTTCCTTCCTCGGTATCAGCAAAGGACTGGGGCTCCAAACTTTTTCTACCTGCCATAGGCTCAAGAGGAATGAAAGGGAACACATTATTTGATTTGTGATTGATTTAGATATTGTGATGCAAAGAACCTGCATTTGAGAACGTTCTACGAAACATACTTAATTACTGCATATTAAATACCCCGCCATGTAGATAGCCTCTCTGGCTATATCAGCACATTTTGGAACCAAGTCAGCATTGTTTGGGTCTTCAGACCTCTTTCCCTCAGGACCTCCAAAGCGGCACCAAAATCCTTGCAGCAGATGGTGTCCCGATAGAAGTGGTCAAGGTGGAGGAGCAGCAGACCGATGAACTGCTGGAATTGGAGAGACTGGGCCGCTGATTTTGAGAATGATGTTGTCTCAGTGTGAAGGAAGAGCTTCCGCACCAATGATTACACAGGTCATGATTTGTCATTATTTATCGATCTTTATCATTGGTAGTAAGTTGGAGCTCAGCCAACCTTTGCAACCAACTCAGTGAGGATTGATCATGCCTCGCCTTTCACCACGACCCCCAGTCACCGCATCATGGTGCCATCGGATGGCAAAGACAAGACGGTAATGGCGAAGGATCTGAAGCTCGGAAGCTGGATCATGTGCAGTGATCGCATGGCCAAGAAATTGATCGCAAAGAAGGAGTATCTGGCAGCTGGGCCAAGATAGTCAGATTCTTTGGTTTCACATTTAGAATAGAATTATGTGCACCATTGTTCGTTGCCAGATTATGTTAAAATGTCATTTCGTTGCGAAGTGTGACCCTTTTTGTTGACTTTCCAGAAACTTCTCAATGTTCATGGTTGATTCCGGGTAAAGTCGCAGATCTTGCCTGGCAACGAGATGCATGGGATTCACCATGATTCACCAGGTGGAAGAGCAGAAGGTGCTGGCCATCACTTTCCATCCCGACAAGGCAGTGGCTTGCGAGGAGCCGGTGGTCTTGAGCAAGGGCCACCCCACGAAAACCATGCGCCGGGGCGGCATGTGCCAGCGAGGTCTTCGGCAGGAGATGATGAGCATTCCAGATACGGCGCCTGGAGAATATCAGGAGTGAGCAGACACTTCTAGTGAAGATGTCTAGGCAAAAAGGTTGGGAAGAAGTGGCACTAGCGACAAATCTAACTCGAAACTGGAAACGTTTTCTACACTTGAGCTTCATCCATCTAAGCAGATTGCATGCTGATTTGAATGAATAACAAGCAACCCCCAAAATTCCCAAAATCCTAGATTTTAAATGTGCCTTTCTTGCTCCTGCCGAGCTGGTGCAACCTACCAGGTTTTTGTTTATACCTTTCCTCCATGGAAGGGCCCCTAGAAGTCTGAAAGGTTTGGGGTCATCCTTGGGCGTTCACTAGAATGGGATCTTTCTAGCATGACAATTTTGGGCATTGTGTCAAATTTCAAGACCTTATTTGGATCACACATTTTTCTCATTTTTGCATCAGGACCAGGAATTACTTACTTGGACAGTCCAAGTTAGATCCATCCTCATATGTCCAGTTTTTTCAAAACTGGTGTCTCTTGAAAAGGAGACCAATACATATTTTGTTGTGATAGCTTTTGGGATTGCGGTTCCAGTGAATTGTGCACATGATTCGTCAGAGTGCCTTCCACGCAATCCTGCATGTCGCACGAGCAGTGGCCAGAGCCCTTACGATTCTTTGTCAATGGGTTTGATGCTACAACCGGAAGGTCAGGATGAGGATAGATGATTTGAATCCACATAGAAACATAAATTGAGGTGTGAAGAATTTCCACAGAGGTCTTAGCCATTGCTCACAACTAATTCAACGTTCCCAAGACCGAAGCGTCAATCACCACGGTCCGATTGCCTATTAATTTGGTTTTGTTGCAAATGTAACTGGAACAAACCAAGATTATGTATGTATATATATGTATATATATGTATATATAATGTATGTATATAATATATATATGTCTGTCTGTTTCAAAGAAAGTTAATGAACCTCAAAGGGCAAGGACACGTTTTGATTATTAGTTGGTGGAATCGAGACATCTGGCTGAGGGGGGGCAACAGTTCTTGCCAGTGTCAAATAATTGCAAAGCAGGACAATGACTGAAATCCTCGACGAGCACCAAAATTTGCAGGTCAAAAAATGGGGCAGACTTGAACCTGCCAAGCTAGACAATTTTCTTAGTTAGTGGTAGTCAGTGGGGGTATAGCATGATCGTGGATTAATAAGACTCTTGACTTGATATATTCCTCTAGCTATTGGCTTATATATACAGTACGGTACGCTGAGTATCACTGCAGCAGCAATCTCACCACGGAGAGAATTGCCCCACGCATGTCTCGGCTCGTGGAGCAAGCAGCCGCTGGCTGTATTTTCTGGAGGTTTGCGACCTGCATATGGAGCCGCAACTGGTGTTGATTTGGATCTGATCAGAGCACTGCTACCGTTCGCAATGTTTTCGCATACAAACAGCTGGTAGTTGTGGAAGTTTGCCCACCCAAATTGGTTTTGACCAGTACCAATGATACTCAGAAAATCCCAATGTCTCATTTTTACCCCTGGGTTAACTGTCGATGATCGCTACTATTGTTGGTCGATCTTGTTATTGGACTTTTAGGGATGTGATGAATATGTGCTTCCAGCTCCTGTGGAGGTCCCCCAGTGCCAGGTCACACAGTGCACCCGATCCTTTCGCAGGGTACGTAGTGCCATGTGACCAGCACCCCTCGAAACTTCGACGGCCACGGAAACAAAACCGTGCGTGCTGGGGGGTGAAGGAGGTCCTGCATGACCCAAGACCAGAAAGAATCATGCGGAAACCACTACGTATATTAAAAGGCATCCCATTTTTGGACAGGAGCTAGCCTTGAGCCATGCCGTGCCATAGCCGTTTTTTTGTCACAAAGATATCCAAGGGCTGGTTGCTGTTGATGTTTCTGCCGCTGCCTCCAGGCCTTCTTGGATGGGAACTCCCAGTGGGTTCCTGGGCTTTGATGGAAGGGCAGGGGTAGCAGGGGTGGCAGATGATGGCAGGCTCAACCCCACCGTAGCTGGGGATCATATCTGGGTGGCTGAGCTGAAAACTGGTAAGGCTGACTAGATGGGTCACGGACTTTGTTGGGAAAGGAAGATAGGGCCCCGTTGAATGCTGGAAAGCAACGCACTGAGGATGCTTCTCAATCCAGCAGCGAGGACCCGCTTGGGGCAGCTGCGGGCGTTGCCATAGACGGATTGGGTTACGACCAGTTGCCATTAGGGTATGGATCGCAAAAGAACAGTTCTTTGTCAAATTGTTTGACAAAAAGCCTGCCGCTGCACAATCATCCAGTTATGTAAGTTTCTACACCTTCACATTTACACAGGATCCAACACAGGCCCTTTCAAAGCTTTGCCACACTGTTACCCCGGCCGGCTGAAGTTGGCCCGTTGGGCTCCAGCAGGCAGAGGCAGAGGTTCCACTGAGTTTCGGAGAGCAGCTGGTGCCATGGCGGATTCTTGCAGGGCATCGGTTGGAGATCAGTAGCCCATGTAGGGTTTGTGAAGGGATAAACAAGGGGATGGAGCGAAACCTATATTGGTATATTGTGGGGGGATCAACATCCGTATACCCGTGCTCTTGGGGGTTTAGTAGGGCACCAGGATTTTGATCAGCTTCTGAGTTCCGCAAGCTGTAGGAGCTGTAAGTTTGACGCCTGAAATGCCTAAAGTACAAACTACAAAGGTCAGGACTTGATCCATCAGATTTTGAATGTGCAAACACATTCTTGTTTTGCACCCTGGTTATCTTTCAGGCTGGGTTCCCAGCAGATGTCTGACCGGGGCCGCCAAACCCAGGTCTTAGAGACCTACCTGCGGTTTCGTGGCCGACGTTATGATCGCCAGCGACAGGCGCGGTTGCAGCTGCCAACGGTGGAAACAGCGAAACGGGGATTTCAACAACGAAGTGTGGGAACTGTTTAGCCAACCAAGATGGAATACAAGGAAGATAATTGCAAGAACATGGGGACCTAACCTTTCTTTTAGAGTCAACAGCGTGAAACTTGTCAAAAAGGTGGACGTTTTCTGGCAAAGATGTTGGAAATTGGGAACTCCTTCCAAACTCTTGGCAGGCCCCAAGCCACCAATGAAACATGATGAATCATGATGAAACATGTATGTTATCATGTTCATATCTTGCCCCTCAAGATAATTCCGGGAGCTCTCCTAAGATCGATTCTCCAGCAGTGCAGCCGGAGTAAATCCACTGCCAGGAGGAGTTGTGCCAGCCGCGGCGCATCAAGCCACCTGCAGATCGCTGGAGCTCAGGAGCCAAATTGTCTCTGTGTTTTTTCGATGTTTGAAGTGGAACCATTCCCAACATCATCAAATCTGGTACGTCTCCCTTTGCTACCTGTGTTGGAAACTTACCTTTTTTTGTCCTTTTGTCAGCCAGCGTGATGCACCAGCTCATGTGCGACTTAAATGGCTACGGCGGTTTCATGTCCCCACGAACATGGGATGACTTTCTCCCCCATGACTCACATGTGTTTTCTCAGCAGGATGGGCAAACGAACAATCACCAATGATTGTTAGCTGTTACTTCATATGGTCGTGCTGAACCATATGAATCAATCTGAAGCAACATTTGTTTGTTTAGTGTCGATGTTGTCCTTCTCGTACTTTGGTTGAAGGGAGAATTTCTAGGATTCCCCCCTATTGCAACCACGATTTCTTGTAAATAAACCCCTGAAAACCAATCCAATGATCTTTGTCTTGTCCGTTTGTTCATCCCCTCCATACTCCATATTATTCCTCATGATAAAAACCACCCAGCCCGCTGTGACCAGGACGCAGAGAAGTCCTAGAGAAGGAACAGGCCACCTTGGGTAACTCCAGGGATCTTTGGTCAAGTAGCTGGGTCAAGACCTGAACCAGCTGGTCAAAGACCTTGAGATTTGCCGATCTGCCATAGTTCAATGGGAATTTCAGGATCCTAAAATGGAGGTACGTTAGTACCATATGTTTGGCCATATTTTGTGGGGATATTCCCTGAGATTTAGGCCTAAAAAATAGGCCTTATATATATATATGGTAGGTACCTCCAATTTAGGTTCCTGAGATGGCCAGTGAATAGTTTCAATAATGTCAACCGAGAGGCAATAAACCCTAACCACTACTCTTGGGGGGATGATGAAGTACGATGGAAGCCACCATTCCCCCATGCCACATTCCAGAGCCAGCGAGCCGCGTTTGCTGCCAGTTGGAAGATCTCTTGAAGCGATTGGCAGGGCCCAAAAGGTGCGACATGTTTTTGGTTTCTGGTCGCAGTAACGCTGTTTTCTGCACCATGGTGGCCTCTGGAGTCAGGGCGAGACTGTTTTGGACAGAATTGGACCCTTTCGACTTTTTGACTGAGATGAGATGAAGCGACTGGTTTCATTTTTTGCCTGGAAAGAAATTGTTTGACTGACTCATGTCGCTTTGGTGCATTTTCAACGGTGCCACAAATCTCGAACCTTGTTGGGCTCGTTATGCACTTGCTCAACTTGCAGGGGCAAAGCCACCGATTCTGGGGAGCTCATCGTCAGGTCCTCATTGGGGGCACTGTTCACTCCTTTAATCTTCTATCATTTTGAAACTTGTTTTACATATTTTAATGTTTCACTGTTTTTTTCAGCTCATCGTATATTTTTATTTTTGTTTTGTGCCTGAACTGAACACTCCTATTCCACATAGGCCCAGCCCAGCCTGCCCAGAGGTGCCACCTGCCCAGCTGCGCAGCCCAGGCCCTGCACTCGTCCAAGCAGGAGCTGGTGCAGCGCCGCGTCCAGGCGAAGGATGTCGAGGCCACCTTCGCGCGGCTCTCGGCGCCCAAGACGGCGCGCGGGTGCGCCATGCTGCGGCTGGTGGTGGTGGGGATGGGATGATGGGTGCCTTGGATTTAGGGACGAGCGGTAGAACTAGAACTAGTTATATCATATCATATCACATGATATCATATCATATCACATGATATCATATCATATCATATCATATCATATCATATCATATAAAAATCATATAAAAATCATTAATATCCAAGTGTATATGTCTAAGTTCTGTATATACAACTGAGGCCTTGGGGGTTGGATTTGTTTTGGGGGATAAAAAACCTAGGGGGACGACCCTTCACTTATTTCTTGAGGGCGATCGAGCCTCCTGATGTCCCAGGTACGATCCGACGCCTGGGGAGAAGGTTTGCCTGATGTACAACCAGACCAGCCAAAGGCAGCGGCCCCGTTTCCAAACCACCTGGGCCACGTCTGTGAATTTTCTGGCCCTGTGGCAATTTGAGATAATTTGAGCGTGGCTATAGTGAGTTCTTCAGTAGGAGGTTCTATATGCAGACCCAGTGTTCTCGCTGAGAAGCTTGCGGGAAGAGGAATGAATAGATTCGGCCAACCCCCTCAAAGGTGACCTTCAACAATGGTTTGGGTTTTTGAAGGGCTTACTCAACAAGCAATAACCAACGATTCTAAGGGCTTATCAACCATCTACTATGGTAAGGTGGGGTCGTCTGACTGGCAGCATCGCCAGAAGCGTGAACTTGGAGCGTTTGGCGGATATGGCGCAACCCAAAAAGCGCGGAGGAGATTTGGTCGTTTCTGTGGAGGGTTCTTGGGATGGGCCACTATGATCATGAACCGGGGATTTTTCAGGGTAATTTATAGTTCATCCTACTGGGGACATGGATACATGATGATACATGAACAATTATGGATCTACAAGGATCCAATACACATCTTGCAATCGTTCCCTATGTCAACAAATGTCACCCCGCGAGTAAGAACATCTGGTAACATCTGGCTGACCCATGGTTCGGGGTCAGCCCCCAAAAGGTGATGAAAGGTTAGTAAGTGGATCTGTTAGCTGGCTAAAATGGACCCTCGATTCAACCACAAAAGCGGCTTTGCGAAGCCGGGGTTGACATGGTGGGAAGAGATGGAGCCAAACATTTGCCGTGAAACCGAATCTTGACTTTCAATTTTTACGATCAGAAACAAACTCAATTCCCCGAATTGAAAGGACCATTTGATAAAATTTGTAGAGAAGCCGCACAGTGGGGACTTGAAACTATGATTTAGTGATTTCCTGTGGCATTGGCCTTAAACCAATCCATCGACAAATGATTTTCAGTGACAGGAGCAGCTGCAGCAGCGATCAAGTTGCGATGACGCTGAGGGTGTGGTTTCAATGTCTAGCGCCGTGGCCACTCCAAAGACCATTCTTTTGATCGGGGCATAATATGCTAGACATTTTCATTGATGGGAAAATCCGGGATAATCATCTACAAAAGGAGGATTTTCCGTCGCTGGGATTTATGTAGATGACCAGAGGATACTGTAGGTATCCTAGAAGCATCTGAAACCATCTCCATGGGGATGAGTTGAGGAAAAGTGGGAAAGTCAGACATCAAACACCCCTAATATGGGACCCCAGAATGAGCAGATCCAGTACTGAATTGCACCCCAGAAGTGATTGTAGGGGATTTCCCATTGATTTTCCTTTAACCAGTTCTAGGAAATGGGATGGCAATGTGAAGTGGACTTGGAGTGGTGTCTCTCCACAAGGAGAGAGGCCAGGAGATCAGACAGGCAGTGGGACAATCGCAATGGCAGGTTTTAATTCGGATGTTATTTCAGAAGGTATTGTGTTGAAACCAAAAACTTGGGAAAATGAACGTGTCAAGTAGTTCATTCTGCTTTATATTTCTGGGAGATGAATAGAGGTTGTTTGTCCTCCTGTGATGACTGTCTCACAAAATACCAGCTGGTGCGGGTGAAAACAACCCGCGCCAGTGGTTTGAAGCCGTGCTGGGCTTCCAAATGCAGGCAGGAGACACAGCAACGTCGTTGGAGCCGTTTCAAAAAGAGCAAGTGCTTTGCACGTTGTTGCCTGCGTTGCCGTCGTCGGTGACCGCGCGAGAATGGAGCAAAGCCGTATATCGCGTTGGCGTCAACACCTTGCGAAAGAAATGTGGAAGTAAGTCGGGCGTGAATGAAACCTGAAGCATGTGGCTTGCTTCTCCAGAAAAATTCAGTAATCTTGGTCCGGCGCCAACAGAAAAAACGTGTCCAAAGTTAGTGTCATCCACGCAGGATTGGTGGGCTTCGTGTCTCCCAGCTTGTCCTTGGGTGAACTCAACGCGTGGAGTCTATTGGGTAGATTTGGAGACGGTGTTGGGAAATTTGTTGGGTTCAGGTTCCTTTCCTGTTTTGACCCCTAAGATACTCCTCTCTACTTGACACTGTCATCGGTTTAGCATTGTTTCTATTTCTATATATACCATTCAACCGCAGAGCAATGTCATCCATATTCTCACAAAAGAATGTGCGGAAACACATCAAAGAAACAGCTTGTAGGAAACACACAGACACATGCTCGCAGTGTTTCTGGAATCCATTCGGTTGCAGCTGCAATCGTCGCACATCTTGTTCAGTTGACATCAAGGACGGTTGTCAATTGCCAACGCTGTACTCCATATTTCTTGGAGACTTTCAGTTGTTGCCGAACGTTTTGGTCAAAGAAGACCATCAACAGGAGTCAACATTTGGTGCCTCGAGTTTGAACATTTCCGAACCATCTCAGCAACTTTTTTTTTCCGATTTCCACGACGTTAGGCTGACGTTAGGTTAACTTATACATCCAATACACACGGTGACGGCAAAAATTGAACTTTCAAATTCGACGTTTGCTGCGCAAAACACGACCCTGCAGATCCAATCAATTGGCACAACATTTATGTGTCTAACACATCTTCGTGGAAACACTGGATTGTCTTTGGCGGCTTTGTGAGCAACCCCGCCGTTTTCCGCATGATTCCACGCAACTGCAAGCATCCACAATCACATCACATCATCGTTATCTAAGGCTGTACCAATGGCATTGCAATCCCCAGCCATAGGAATAATTACAAGCGTTTCTTTCACAACCGGCCCGTTAGTGATTCGAGATATCGTATATGCACAGATTTGTTCAAACATCTGGGCAAAACCACATCCGACATGTCTTGTATCATTGCTTTGGAAACACATACGCCGACCTTGATCTAGCACTGAGAAGCATTCTGGTTACTTTACAAACACTGTTTGTATTCGGTTGCTGTGTAGATTCCCTCACGTTGTGACCTCCATGTTTCCGTGCTACACAACAAATTAACATCATCCAACAGTGTCTTTCGAGAAACAAATGCATTTTGTTTTTGGCAAGACATGGAAACGTATGAACACATTTTGATTTACGACATTCATGCCGCGAGGTTCAACCCCATGGCATTGGTTTTGCATGTGCATCTCTCTGCTACGTTTTCTGTCAATGGCACTTCCATACTCGGACTTGGCAACCCCAACGCTTCATGCGCGCGCTCCGTCAGACTGCAAAGTGGGTTAGGATCGAACTCTTGGGACACTGAGAACTCAAGGGCACGACTCGACCCGACCTTCTTGCGTCGATTATGCGGACCAAGAAGGCGCCCGCACAAAACCTGGAATCAAAACCAAAACCATTGCTGTGTCAATTGATGTCAATTGCTGCCTCCTGCTTCAAGTGCCTCGGCGTTCTTCTACTTGGTCACGTCCCTGCATTTCTGAGTGGTGTTTTTTTTTTTCATCGTTTTTTTTTGGCATCATTTTTCCGTGTCAAACGGTTCTAAATTTCTTTCAAACCATGATATCAACGAATATATCAACGAATATATATATATATATATCTGGAAATTTAAAACTCAAACTTCCGACTTCTGGACAAAATTGGTTCTTGTGGAGGTTTGGCTAAATTCGTTTCTAAGAGGTCCTTGCGTGATCCGCTTCAGGTTCTTAACCGAAGGTCTTGAGGAGATTCTGGGGCGATCCTCTCTCAGAGGCACTTGGGAGGTTCTTACCTCAAGATCCTGTAAGATTCGCTCCAGCAGCAGCAGATCCTTTTATGACGATCTTGTGAGTTTCCCTTCGGGGTCCTGGCATGAAGATCTTGGTCGTGGTCTTTTACAAGCCCTTTTGAGAAGCTCTTGGGGAGATCCTGGTGACATGTTGTTTGGTACCTTTGCACGATCTTGCACCGGTCCCTGTGAGAAGTTCTTGAAGAGGTCCGGGAAAAATTCTGTAGGTCCTTTAAGTGTTTGATGGTGTTTGTACATGTTCTCGTACTGGTCGTTGCACTAAGATGTGGTGGAGATTGTTCACAAATGCTCCTCGAGAGGTCTTTGTGTTACGATCTGAAGATCGGTGCTGGTCAGAATGTTTTCTTGGGATGCTCGTAGGAAATTCTTGTATGAGGATTTTGTTTGATAGACATAGCTGTTGCATTTGTGATCATGTTTAACCTCACTCGTTACTGTTCCATAACTACTGTTGCTTGTATTTGGTACATTGATTCTTTACCTTCTACACTGTGCTGTGTGGGGTGTGTTGCCGGAGTACTTTTTGATGAGCGATGGTGCGTTTTCCGTTTCCCCGTTTTGTCGTAAGTTCGTGGGATCGGTTGTGTTAACAACGTAAGAAACTCTCAACATCCGAAAGAGTCGTAGTTTTGCGATTGGAATGGCGTCCTGTCAACATGTCAAAACGATGTTTCGCAATAGACTGGGGAATTGCTTCAACATGCCAGAACAACTTGTCACGATAGATGCACCAAAAGAGTCGCCGACGTCCGCAACGTCCCAATTGAAACATCGTTTTGCGATAGAGAAAAAACGTGTTGTCAACATCCCATAACTTTTCCCACGGTTGCCAAATTGGTTCGTTGACATGCCAAACCGTGTTCCCGCGATGCAATAACGCCCTTTCCGCAATAACAAAACATGTCCGTGTGGCAGGGGCAACGTTGGAATATAAGCAGACTATCTGGTGATGCCAAATCGGCTTGTCGACATGCTGAATCGTATTGGGACGATTTTTTTAAAACTTGTCTGTTACCAAATCTGGGGGTAGCAGTGCTTTGCTGGTCAGCACCAAGGGTTTGCTTGCATTGAATTGCGCTCCACGCCTGCAAAAACGTGCGCCCATGTGCACGCCCGAATGGAAGTCGCAACAATGGCTTGGATTCCGATCCTGACTGCTGTCACCAACTCCTTTCCTGCACAATCGAACCGAATGGTTTGATGATCCGGGTCCCCGAACCAGATGGTTCGACACACTTTGTTTTGCGCCCGTTGGAAGTTGAAATTATGGTCTTTGATTGTCTTTGACCTATGATCCGTTAATTTTTTTGAATGGATGGTTATGGTACCCTATCAAAAAATTATACTTATCAATGCAAGTTTTTGTTCGTCTGTGGTTCCTTTTCTTGACACAATGTTTGTTTTCA